TTATAAATCCCATTCGAAATGTTCCGTTAAGCAGGAAGGACGAATGAGGACATTACAAATGCCTTCCCACGAGCTAATCACTTGGTCTGTGACATAGTGAAATTTCAGTCGAGTCTAGTGATATCGGTGAGATAAATTTGAATTTGAAATTGAGACAGGGTTCTAACCCAAGTTAGACAACTTTTATTAATTAAAGATGTTTCAATGTTACTAAATTGTCCTCGACTTCACCTGTTAAGACCTTCCCGAACATAATGCGACTTATAATCGCATTAACTTTAAATTTTAGTCAATAGTTGGTGAAAATGAGTAAAGGTTAAATATGAATCAATGTTTGGAGCTAAATAAAAACTATTTAAGGCTAACCATAACGATTCTGAGGTATGAGCGAAACTAGGAACCTCAGAATTCTCGTTTACCCTTTCCATGGGCTCACGTTCTGCCAACCACACCAACCGAGAGACTGCTTTACCTTTCTCTCAGTCAGTTTTTTGCACTATAACAGTGTTATACGCAATCACTCTTCAACGGAAATGTTCTGTGAAGCAGAGATGTGCATTGAACACAGTTAAGCCGAAGCTGCAGTCGAAATCACAATGTCTTGACTTTTATTTACAACTTGTTCTTTTTTTATAATATGGTATTATGTAAAATACAACCATTACGACAAGATATGAGAAAATCTCGAACCAGAGGTCAGATTCGGATCCGCGATTGCTCTTTCCTTGAGCTCATGCTACCCACAAGACCAACGCAGTCCATTAATCACGAACGTGTTTTCTTGTGACTTACACGGAAATCGATCGTTTTTTGTTCTTGATTGCTGCGGTATCTTTCATCAATTAAATGTGTTTATAAAATGGTGCTTGGAACCAAAAAGTGCATCGAGCGATGTAATACATTTTCCATAAAACTCGTCAAATTCGTGAAACGTGTGGGTGGGTGCTGTCGTGTAGTAAGTAGCTCAGACGACTAAGAAGTGCCAGCTAAGATACACTGAATTTCTCTTGTGAATTTCCTTGATCCGGTTGTAGTTGGAATCCTCACTCAACAGTCCGTTCTATTCTTGCTTCGTTTTGCATTCCCTTTTTTTTCTGTGGACTGCTGTAGACCGCGTTTTCCTTGGATCACTACTGTGCACAAGCTTAAAAGTTTTCAAAAATTACCTATCAGTGCACCCTTCCAGGCTCTGAAGAAGGCGATACTAGCAAAACGTCAGCTACCGTTGTGTTGTATGTGTTTTTTTGTAAGGAAACAAACGTGTGCTGAATAACAACCTCGTGATTGCTGAAAAAGAAAGCGACATATTTTTCCTTTTTTCTTTGTCGACTAAAAAATGCCGTTTTTATTAAATTAGTTATATAATTCGGCTTCACCTATCTTGTACATTCCACAAATACTCTAATTCAGTTCGCTGTGAAATATAACTTCAATGATGCTGAGATATTTGCAAAACTCCGGACCGCAGGTGTATGCGGTGGGGAACGAAGAACTAGCCGAGAGACAGGCGAAACGAAGGACCCGCGTGGTGTGGTGGTGAAGTGCGCTACTCCCCGGAAAGGACAATAGCGCGTTCGTTTCCCACCGCATACACCTGCGGTCCGGAGTTTTGCAAATATCTCAGCATCATTGAAGTTATATTTTACAATGTATACCCTGCCGTTAGAAAGAATAGTCAGTTCACTGTCTCACATCCGTTGTCCAGTACTCCCTCCGAATTTACGCGAAGGTTCTTCTCGCAGTAGAGGACTTTGCCCTTGTGTGTATTGGACGCAGCTTCTTCTTAACAAGTCTAACACCAATCTGGCGACTTCGAAGAAATTAGAAGCTTAATTGGGTCGACGAGAGGTCTACCCATACTGTACTTTCTTCTGTTGCCATAAGTAACTATTATGAGTTCCCATCGCACTTTTCAAATTAACGGATGCATCGAAAAGGGTTATTTTAAGTATGGCAGTGCAGCTTTTAATGCCTTCAGTGCGTGTGAATCAAGCGAAATCACTCAACTGCCCAATAGAAATAAATTGTAAGAGTGTTAACTTGCTTATTTACTGCCTATTACAATTTTTATGGCAGGATATTGCGTGAGATTAGTGTGGTGGTGAACGCATTAGCTCCTAGACAGGTAATAGCGCGTTCATTCCCCACGCAAACACCTGCGGTCCGGAGTTTTGCAAATATCTCAGCATCATTGTGGTTGTATCACATGTAAATTACGACAGTTGGAAAGAAATGCCCTATTTCAGACTAGAACTGTAATGCAAATGTTTAATGTAAATACTTCATGGATACCTGAGTAGTTTATCCGCACGACTCAAACAGAAACACTTCCCACACGGTTGTTTACAAGATGGTCGTCATCCGTGATGTTGTGAGCATGGTGATATCCGAAAATATCCTGACCCTCTCCATGAATTCGCTTCTCGTTGCGAACATTCCTAGTTGATGAACAACTTCATCAGTCAGAGCAAAATCCTTTAGAATGACTGCAATTTCACCTAAATTTTTTATTTTTAATTATTTCATCGACGCGAAAATTTGGATCGCTGGATTCGCGTCACTTGTCGACGGCCTTGTTGACCGCTGCCTTTAACAGATGAATGTTTCTTAGCGAAGGAACTCCGGATCTTTGGAAAAGTGGTGAGCCATTGATGAAAAGTCAAATAAATAAGGCTGATTGGGCACTCTAATTCATTCATCTTCCAAACCGTCATTTTGAAGCTGCAGTTGTTGTGCAACGGAATCGGTAGTTCTCTCTTGACCACTGCCCGCTGTGAACATTGCGGTTCTCCATGAGTTGGCAATACTCCCTTGTCCTGATGGCTTAACCAAGGTTCAAGGTGCTGCATTAATTCATCGGCTGAACACGAACACCTTATCAAGATTTTCCTCTTACACAGATTCTCGCCTTATGAGGTATTTTGAGAGATGCTTTCCCTCCTATTCAGAACGTTGTTACTAGCCGTGCCGAATCAATTTTGCTCCACAATGGAGGCGTAAAAGCATTAGGCATGGAACAATCTCTTACGAATACACTGTGGTTTCTACTACATTCGTAGCACTGTCGAAACGTATTATCTTTTATCTACCGCTTACTACAATTTTTTACGGCAGGGTACTATGTGAAACACAACCACAATGATCTTGATGTATTTGCAAAACTTGGACCCAAGTCTGATCGAACTGCGATTATCTTTTCCGGGTGCTCACTTGTGACGCGTGGCACCGCTAAGGTCCTCGTTCTGCCTTTCTCTCAGTAGCTCTTTTTACTCTAACTGCCGAGTTGATCGAATACATATTTTGCCTTTATAAAGAATTATTGTGGACCACCAATATATCAAATCAGCGTTTTTATCTTCATAGACAAGTACGGCACAAAGTTGAAGTGTGCGGTACGAGAGAGGCTTGGTATGCTGGGGTTCTCCGGGACAGAATCGATTTTCGGTCACCGTATGAGGAAACCGAGCTTCACCATCAATTCCTGCATAGTCAGACGTTTTCAATGCTCAATAAATTTGATTATACCGCATCAGCTTTAATAGTCAACAGTTGACCGGTTTCGCCTCCTAGGTGTTCCATCGTTGAAGCGAGAAACTCAATTGTTGCCAGCCGTTATTGAAGACAGAATACTCGAGATGAGTACATCAGTGTAGTGGTCGGATTCCAAGTATTTCCGCAACCCGGGCTGAGCCTGCGTCTATGACTAACTCGGCTTTAGTTCGGAGCTGATATAGTTTTAGATTCCAAGGATGGCATTCCACTATTGAAGCGGTCGAGTCGGTTGGCGATAATCATCACTGAAGAGACGGCATCCGACATGGCTGCAAAAGTGTAGTTTCTGGTAACTCGGTTCGTGTCTTACAGAACAGACTCTGTTCCCCGCCCTCTGGTATACTTATTTTGAAACAGGCGAATAACTTGGTGGTAATTGTTATTGCAAAGATGGCATGCAGGGACATCCGGGACGACTGAAAAAGTATGTGTAGTCCGGTAGGTTACATGGCTGGATTCTAGTCACTAGAGGCAAAACATCTGCGACAAGGCATTAGCCGACCGCCTTGGGTAATATGATTCGTCTCATCTCGTCTGATGCTGTTGTCTTTTTCTCTCAAGACGTTTCACATTCTTCAAGTCAGAAAAAAAGCTGAGAACAATCTTGAGTTGTCAAGCTTTTTTCTATATTCTCTTCGTATTATGAAAGAAAAAAACGGAAGATTTTCACAGAAAAAACATACTTGCTGATTTCTTTCGCCACCTACATGTATCTTAGCTGGTTTTTGCTCGGACACTTCCTTTTTTTATTCCACACAACCTACCCTTATCTTTCTTGTGCGAATCCTAGCACTTCTTGCTTTCTAATCGTTTTCTCGCATTCATTATCCACTAAGCCTTCCGAACTCTTCGCGTGTGGATTCGGCTGCTGCTTGCGAATTGTCACCTTCTCTACCAATGTCGTTGAATTCTGATCGAATCGATTCTCCTTGGAGTTCTAGGGTAGTCACGCAGGAGCGTTCTCACATGGGATTGAGGAAGTAGGCCCAACCCAGACAGGTCTGGTACTAATTTCTCGACCCGGAGAGATGAGAACCTGGTGAAAACGAAGAGCCTTTAACAAACACCATGCTCGTGATGAACAGCTGCACTACCATTGCGCTACCCATCTCCTTATACTTACTAGTATATCCAGCAAATGAGATCTTAGAATTCATATATCCATTACTCAAATGTGTACTTTCTCGGAAGATAGCACTTCTCTCTAGTAGTTCTTTCTTCTATTTTTATTCCTATCATACTAATAATCCGTGATTAAAAGCTCTCCGTTGCTTGAGTTTTTTATAGTAAAATTTTCATCCCAACTCACGTCGATTTTGCTTTTTCAGGCCATTATCACGTATTCTTTCCAGATTTCTCTTTGCTTGTCTATCGCTGGTGCGACTTTTTCCTATTGTGAATCGTATGCTTTTAACCGCTTATTCGGAATTTTCAGGATTTTGATAGCGATGAGACGAGCCTGTGAACTAGAATTCTCCTCATACAATATTCTGCTCAGTGTGGTATTTTTCTGTATCTTTACACTCTCTCTAATTGGGAACTGCCTCGTCATCATCACAGTCCTTTCAAAAACACATCGGTGAGTTCTCGTGACGTCATCGAATCAATTCGATCAAGGAAAAATCAACTGACTGTGGAAAAATTGCTTAAAAGTGTTTTGTAGAACAAAAAGAGAAAAAACAGCAGTTTTTTTTATTTTCTTTCACTTCCTGGACAATTTTACGCAGTTTTAGTTCAAATAGTGCTTTAACGAAAAACAGTTATTTCTACCCAAAACGGAATTGTGGACGAAGAGATTTTTTCGAAGAAATTTCAGGTCAGGTTCTATAACGAACTTCTACCTATTGAATCTCGCAATCGCAGACCTACTACGGTATTTTTTTGTAGAAAACTTTTTCGGAATCAAATACAAAATCTTCTTATTGTTAATTTTTTATTTACTGCCTATTACAATTTTCCACGGCAGGGTATTATGTATGATACAACCACAATAATGCTGAGATATCTGCAAAACTCCGGACCTCAGGTGTCTGCGGTGGGGAGCGAACGCGTTGTTACCCTTTTCGTGGGCTAACGCGTTCACCACCACACCATGCGGGTGCTTCGTTTCGTCTGTCTCTCAGCTAATTCTATCGATCAATGCCATCAGCAATCATCCGTCAACGGGATTGATCTGGGGAGCCATTGTGGTTGCATCTTCTTATTGTTTCTAAAATAACATTATGTTAAATTGCTGCATTTCAGGATCGTGTTGTATTTATTAGAAATCAAAATAAGTAAAAATCTCAGAAAAATATGTAGATCAATTTAAGTAAAAATATATTATGCGCTGATTATCTCCAGTGAGAGATGACAAAGTGGCAACAAAATGGATGCGTGAATTTTTTCTTTTCTTTTTCATTCCTTTTTCCACAATTAAGTTCATTTTTAGCAGTGTTGTTTGTATGCCGCTCACTTTACTTAGCGAACTTACAAGATGTTGGATACTTGGACCTCTGATGTGCAAATTGGTCGCATTTCTACAACGTAAGCATTTCTAGATCGTGCCTATCATTAGACAGTTATTTTTGCATATTATGATTTACTTCTACCCATGATCACTACTGAATGCATAAAGTTCATTGGTGAGAGGCACCCTGCAACACACAAGCAGTCTTTGGTTCGATCCCGCACTCTGGGTAAACCGAAGCCTTCATCGCTCTGGGGTCAAAAATTTGTTATTGGACTTGTTTGGCAGGGAGGCCAGAACAGACCACTGTGCATGTGAAATATTCAACTATGCATCTCTGTGATGCTTTGAATCGAGTCAAGTGCACAGCATATCCTACAAGGATTGACAAGCTTTGAACGATTCATCTTTTATCCTTATTATTACTACTGTCCTTGTGTTTATTCATTAATTATTTCGATGAAAGGGTAGTACAGTGATAATGTTGCCTTAATCACGAGCCCGGTGCTGACTTTACCACTCCCTGGACCCACCAAACCTCTGATTCCTCCGGGGTAGGGAAATTTTTGCTAGATTTTTCTGGGAGCAGCTCAGTCTTCACGATCCAAGTGAGAACATTCTAGCTAGGATATCGCAGGTCTACAGATAGAATCGACTCCACCAACATTGAACAACATTCATAACGAAGACGACAAGCCTCAAGCAGCAGCTAAGGCAACACGCGAACTGTTCGAAGACCATTGTGGATAATGACTGAATCCAATGCAAGAAATGTTAGGATCCCGCACATGTGATGAGCTATGTATGAAATTGTATGTAAAAATTATCCCCTATTGTTAGGACTTTCTTGCATTCTGCTGTTATATTGTCTTTGATTTATCATCGTTCAATTACTGGCAGAAACTGCTGCAGTGTTGGAGAACTCTTAGTCGGAGAAAGATCACAAGTGAGTTACGACCCAAATAAGACGGTGATTAAATTAACCTATGGCGAACGAATTTATGAGAACCTTCTAGTGTACTACCATCTCAGAATTACTCGGAAAACGGAAACACTACACTGAACTATGTGGAGTGAAGTCAACAGATGCTAAACCAGCAGAAAAACGCATGCACGAACTTGATCCCCTTATACTCGCAAGGGTCGTCTATGTATTCAACCTTCGCTTGAAGATCTGTCGCCTTCTTACCTTATTCGGACTCGATTATTGGTAAAAGTGCATGGTCTTCCCTATTTCCAGAAATCTTATACTAATCGTGTCACAATGTTTCCAGGCAGTCAAGCAGTGGTAGCACTTGTTGGTGGAAAAAAATCCCGACGATTTCCGATTAACTTTCCTACAGGAAAGCAAGTAATCATCCTAACTATATATATATATATATATATATATATATATACAATGTTTTATATATACATATATAAATATACAATATATAAATGTATAAATTTTCCATTATATATATAATGTTCTTACGAACCGCTTTTTTTTAACTGACGCGAGGTTGGTATAGGTGTTCTTATCGTTGTTGTTGTCGTTGTTCGATGGCGGACATTTCGGCGACTTCGCTTCGACGACGACCATCCTTTGCGAGCAACACCACAGGTGGTCCAACAGCGCGACTCTGAGGAAAGCGAAGTCGTTGAAACGTGGACCATCGAACATCGACAGCAACAACAACAATAAGAACATCTGTACCAACATTTCGCCAGCCAAAAAAGGGCAGTTCATAGAAACATATATATAGATATATCGATTATTATGCCGAGGTTTTATGGAAAGTCGGTGTTTTGACTCATTCTAACCGACCAGTAATGTAATAAACAGGATCCTACACTGTTATTGCTGCGTTATTATAATCACTACGTTTATTGGGGCTTATTACGTAAATACCGTTAATAACGTAGATACCGACCATATAAGGGACGAACCTTCCATGGACGAACCTCCCATTGTATGGTCGGTTCTTCAATCGGTCTTTTACTCCATTCATCATGTTGCTCAATTCTAATTTCCTCTATGCAGAAAATCTCTTCATGATCGTTCCTATAATTTTTTCTTCATTTGATCCGTCTCTACGCCTCCGTCATTCACAATGTAGTTCGGATTTGTACGTGAGCTCGGCTGCCATTACCAAGGAGGACTTTGTCTCTATCGCGAATACGCCGAAATATTGGGGTTGATTCTCCATGGCATTCTAAAATAAACATGCCATGTAATCCTCAAATCTTCCTCACAAGCGATCTTCAACCATTGCAAATGGAATGGAGATGTTATCAGGAAAACGTGCTGTCAACTTCATGACTTCGGGAAGATGTCAGCCTTGAGTATGTGCGTGATATCGAACCAAGGACTCCATGCTTATGCAAAGCGCATTAAACCATTGCGCTACAATCATTTGTAGTTAGACAGAAAATAAGATGTGTAAATGGCGCTTTTAAGCGATTTATGTGTTCCTGATGAAGTGGATTTCAGCTGTCGGAGTCTGCGCTTCCGCTTATACGTTGGCCGTAATCGCCGTCGAGCGCTACTATGCAATTTGCCAGCCATTGCAATTAAGAAAGTGGAAGACGAAGGCATCGTGGTTTTTTCCTAACACAATACTTAGTTATTTTTATTTATCTCTGTCTTCCTTTCCTATCTACTCACTTTTTCTTGCGTTATTTATCTGTTATTTTTTATTTAGACCAAGATTGATGAAATTTGAGTGACTTGGACCACCACAGTCAACTTTCTGCGATTTTCGTTCGTTTTAAAAAATTTCATGAGATAAATCCATTAAAACTTTTTTAATCATTGAATTTAATAGTCTGAAAAATTAAAACTAACTTAGGAAGCTTTTAAAACTTCAGGACACCAGAAGCGAGAAATTGTCGCGAATAAGAAAAGATACTCACAGAGTTTAAAATTTAGCCTTAAGTAATGCCGATTTGGGCTCCCCAGATCAATCCCGTTAACGGGTGATTGATGATGACAAGTGATTGATAGAACTGGCTGACAGACAGGCGAAACGAAGGACTCGGATGGTGTGGTGGTGAACGCGTTACTACCAGGAAAGGACAATAGCGCGTTCGTTCCCCACCGCATACACCTGCGGTCTGGATTTTGTAAATATCTCAGCATCACTAAAGTTTAACCTTAAGGTTTTATCATCATTGATTTGGGAAGGCCCATGGGACAAGGACGTTGAGTTTTTGAACCATGCAGAACATTAGAAAACTAATTCATCAAAGGCGGGTTGTCGGCAGAAAAAAAAGAAAATAATGGGAAAAGAGAGTTTTAAAAGAGAAAAAAAAAGAAGAGAAAACGAATTGTTTATACGAAAAAAGACGTTCAGGAAAAAGCTGGGAAACAAGCGAAAAAAAAATAATGTTCATGTTATTTTTAGCGTATAAAACTTGATGGAACCGGAGATATTAGAAAATTTTTCTCTTGATTTTCGACAGAAGGAAAAAATCCCACATTGGATTCAAAGCAACATTTTTCATTATTAACATTTTTTCTGTTGCTTTCTGTCGTAAGAAATGAAGTCAAAGAGTATTCCAACTTATTATTTACTGCCTACCTTTTTAATAGCAGGACATGTTGCGAAATATAACTCCAATGTTATACCTTTTTATTTTCTGCCTACTATAATTTCGCGGCAGGGTACTAAGCGAAATACAACCACAACGTTGCTCGTTCCCCAACATAGACGCCTGCGTTCCAGAGTTTTGCAAATATCTCAGCAACGTTGTGGTTATAACTCCAATGTTGCTGAGATATTTGCAAAACTTCGGAGTGCACGTGTCTGCCGTGGGGAACGAGCGCATTATTACCCTTTCCGGGGCTAACGCGTTCACCACCACACCATGTGGGTACTTCGTTTCGTCTGCCTCTCAGCTAGTTCCAATCAGTGCCATCAGCAATCAAAGAATGTTGCGAAAAAGCCTTTTCAAAAACGATAACTCCTAAAACATTGATAGAACTCTTATCTTGATTTTCGTTTCAGTTATTTCCTTTCTCAAAATCATACTTCTATCCAAGTTATTGTTTCAGTTTTTTTTCAGAAACGGGCATTGCTCACCATTTCAATGGTTTGGACATTTTCATTCGTTTGTAATATCGGTACACTATTTATTTTTGATTCTGTACGTTACCGTACCCAGTGGACCTGTGATACCTACGGAGGACCGTTGATGAATTTCCTCTACCAACTCTACGTAACCTTGGTTGGTTATCATAATCCGCAAATCTTAAAGTGGTTTTTTATTTTACTCTATTTAATTTGCTTTTATTTTGTAGGTTTTATTGCTCATTCCACTTTGTGTAATGGTTAGCCTTTACGGGCATGTAATCAATTCGCTTTCAACGGCCATCGTTGGCGATAACCCCGTCGAACAACGACAATCGTTTCAAAAAACTGGTATGTTAGGATTTATTTTTTAATAGGCCACTTCTTAGTAAACCGTAAAGGAAACCTTTACCAATGGTTTGACGCATCTTTGTAGCCCAAAGATATTCCTGAATGCTTAACTGTGATCTGCACAGTGAAGAGCTAATCTCTTAAAACGATCTTCTACAGAGAGGGCGAATACGACGTTTTCATCTGGAAGCGCAGTTGTCATGACAAAGTCCGCCAACCCACCCTTGAATACTATCTGACCAAAAACAGTGAAAGAGTTTAATTGGGAAGATGTGCCTTTATTTTGCATTCTTTCATCAAAAAGCTAATAGGTCGAAGAGAAGGAAAAAGGTTTATTCCTAGGTTGAAGGATTGTCGGCGTTTGAAATATTGCTTCTTGTGTTTTTTCTTTGAGTAGACCTGCTACGGTAATATTGCTGTGCCTGCAAGTTCTCACTCGAGTTCCTCCATCATTAATGAGATTATGGGTGATACAGACGAAATATTGAAAAATTTACAGCCTATGTTTTTTCCCAAAAACAGGCCTAAAATCGCCCTTAGAATTACCGTTCTTCGTCTTTAGGTAGCCGTCTTTTTCTTCAGCACAAACTGAACTCATTGACTGGGTGAATATCCATTAAAAAGCTGTGTTTATGTCTTCTATTTTTTTTACTTCTTAGTTTTTATTTTTTATTTAACGAGCTGAACCACTTTTTTATTTACTTAGCATGCTCTAAGGATAGAAAGGACTAAATAGGACTTATTGCTCTATGAATAAGCGAGTAGGTAGAGCAGTCGTAGTGATGCCGTCCATCACGCACACGATGCTGGTCTCCGGTCTACTTGGAAACGTTCCGGCATGGCTATGCCAGAACTCCAAGAAGACCTAAGTAGACTGGTCTTCAACAATATTCATAAAGGAGGCCAAAATATTCAAACTGCAGCCGAATCCACATGCAAAAGTTCGAAATCCTTCGTGGATGATGGATGAGAGGAAACGAATCGTATGCGAGAAGTCTTTGATCCCCATAGCACATGCGAAGATGTGTTGCGAAAAATAAAACAAAATGCTGTCTTTCCTACTGGTATTTACTGTTACCATCTAAATTATCAATTTTTCGTCAAGCAAATTTGTTTTAGCTTACGTAATTTATTATTCTATCGTGCTTGATAACTACAGAACACGCGTAACACGGTGTCTAGAAGTTTCCTACATTACATACAGAGTAGTCTGTTCAATCCCAAGCTTCAGCGAAGCCATCAATCACTCTGAGATTCACAAGTTGGTAGGAGCCTTTTCTGGGAGGGTTAAAACGCTGACTTGAACCTTTTGTGGTGCCACGGAATGGAATCTAACCCAGGTCTAACGTCTAGTTTTTCGTATTCTTGTTCAGCAAACGCGAGGTGTTACTTTTATTCTTTATTCACGAATGAGCTGTTTCGGCGGATTTTGCCTTCCTCAGAGTCTGGAAAGGTCAATTTGACAGCAATCTATTCGGCCAAACACCTCCATAACCAAACACAGAGAGCGCTAAACCAAGTTTTCAATCACATTGAACACAGCTTTGCACACTCACTGCTTTCTATGAGGCTTCCACTGGGTATGTCGCGTGGAGACCAAGCGCACAGAATTCACACGGAAGCGTAATGTGCCCCTACCATCGGAATAACAGGCTTATATACTGTCCAATATCACGCGTGATAATGAGACATTCTTCCCTGCGGTTCATTTTCGGATTTCTGGAATTAATCCAAAACGCCTCGAGAGTTCTGCGCGCTTGTGTTCTCGATTACTGTGCGATGATCGTGACTACTACTTCAAAGCCCTCCCCGTTATCTTTCTGAGCTCTGTGTGCCTAGTGAGGTATTTGGTTTACGTTTGCCGATTAGGTGTTCTTTTATGCGGATACTAACGTCTGAGTCGCCAAACCCTTTATCCTTTATTCTTTTAAGCTAACTACATTCCAATATCGAAATTTTACTTTTCGCTTATTCGTTTTTCATCAAGGAACGATGTAAAATAGTATCACAAAGATGCTGAGACACGAGCAAAACTTGGAACTTCTGTTGATCTTCTAACCATTGATTATTCATTCTGGAGGCGGACGCGCTATTCAAAACACCAAATGATGTCTTTGCTTTGCCTTTCTCTCAGGCATGTTTTTACTACATCGGTGTTAGCAGCAATCATTCGTCAACTTTCGTAGCACTTTAGCTCCCGGTAAGGATAGTCACGGGTTTGAAGCCCAACTGAGGTTCCGAGTTTTACACATATCTCGGCCTATCTATGGTTACATTTTAATAGCTTAACCAATTTAGTACTTTTTCTATAAAATTAAGCTCAAAGTCGTGCGAAATCGTTGTAGTACTGTCATAAACAAAACAACCAAATCTGAACGTAAACGTAGATTAGAGGAAAATCCGAGGCCAAAGTTCACGTCGGCTCCGTGTAGCACCAGCATTTATCAACGAACTTCACGAACTCCGTAATCAAAAAGTGTCGACGAGTCCTTCGGAGTGTAGTAAAGTAGTCGTTTGTTTTCTAGAGGTCCGAGTTTTCCCGAGAGACTAAAATGAGAGCCGAGAATTGAATCACGTCAGCTCGAAGCCGTCAAAAACATCGTGGAATGCTTAACGTCACACATGGACATCGGGCGTGTTTTCGAAAACATTGCGGGATTCGGAACAATTTTCCATTTGGATTAGTTTTTTAGAGTCTTCAGAAAGACGAACATAGCATTTCTAAATCATCATCATGAGCACTAACAGGCCCTTATGGTTCTAAAAGAATTGTTTGCTCCCTTGTAACTAGTTAGATTCTTTTGGTGAGACGGTAACAATGATTCGCGGGAACGGCATTGTTCTTAACTACGCTTCGGATTAAAAACCCTAACTTTTACTCGGCCATATTAATTCACTAAAAAGAGGAAGAAATACCGTTACCATACTGTTGCACCTCCCACCTTGAAGCCTCGGAGCACAACAACAACACCTCCTAACCACGATTATGTAAACCAGTAATTTACTAAATGTGAAAAATTGCATTAAAGTGGATAATCAGAAATTCTATGTATCAGTCATTTAACTATTCGTGACGGGGTAAATTTTTTCAGTATAAGTGGCAAAATAAAGGATAAAGCTTCCTACGTTAATCTATCCCCGAGGGATGCGCCATGCATTCGACTTCACTAAGCATCGTTGGAGGTGACTGAATGCATATATGGCCTTCACAATGACTTTCGGTGGCCTACCGAATTATCGTACCAGTGCTGATATCCTACCAGACAAGTCTGGTACAAATTCGGAGACCCCAGAGGGATGGAAGGCTTGGTGGGCATGGGCATGAGGATCAATCCCAAGTGTGTGTTGCAGTGCGCCTCCGACCATTGCGTCACACGCGTCCTTCTTGAATGTATACAATTCGAAAATCGCCTTCTTATCCAACTTCAGATCAGCGTGTCGCAAAAATTATGTCATTTCTTTCGAGAACTTTTTCTACTGTTTTATCCCTTATAAATGAAGAAAAAGCTAAACCATCACCATAGACCTTTAATAAGCTGTTCATTCAGATGTGACCCTCGTTACTCCGCCAACGTTTCCGGAATGGCTGTTCAACGGCGTTGTACAAGCTGAAAATATAAACAATGTAGATATAAAGGTAACAGACCTAAATTTTCTATAATGTATTCGAAGTAGAATTCTTATTATTTATATTCTTTATGTTGCTTCGGACCAATTTTTAAAATAAAATCGAAACGTTTTCCAAGAAAATTTGCGAGGAAACAGTAATAATAGTTATAACAAGACATAAGAGGTTAAATCATTCGAAGTTGATTAATCCTTCAGCGGTACGTTATGTATTCAACTCCATTCGTAGCCGTATAAATGAGTAAGTGCGCATTTAACTAATACAATCGCTTTTGGTGACCTATCGAAGCATCAACTTGCTCCTCCAGGACAAGGCTGGTTTCCTTCGGCCAACTCTAGAGGGATGAAGGACTTTGGTAAACCACGGGCGCGAGAACGTACCAAGGATCATATGTTCATGGCAGGACACCTCTAACCACTACGCTATACGTCGATCACTCCGGACTTAAACGCAAAAATCATTCATGGGCACCAATGATTCTCTTGTATAGTGCCTGATATAAGCATTCACGTCTGTACATTGTCTATTTGACATTCTCGTCAGTCTCAATGATGTGGTAAGCTGCGGGTGAGATAGAGGAGGGATAGGAGAAGACTAGCCAAATTTAGAGAGATGAAACCTGAGACCAAGTCGGATAGATATCACTACAGTATAATTTGAAATTAATCTCCCACTTGGGAATTGAAAAGTACATTCCAATATTGAAGGTTTCAATAACAATTCATGGCTTTATCGCACATTTCCAGTGCACGTCATCTATTCATATCACAATAGCAAACACTTTTCAAGAGTAACTCCTAAGTGTTTCGAAGTTTTTGGTTAAATCTCTCATATTTTAGAATAAGCAGCAATCGCTTTCGATTCCGTGCTCGGATAAGCTGTACGTAAGGAAGTCGTCACGAAGCAGTTCTATTATTAGCCTATTCCGATCGTCGAGAAGTGACATCGATCCGACTACGTTACTAAGAAGTACGAATCAGGTTTGTTTACGAGGGTTTTACTACATGGAAAGCAATATAGGCATATTCATTGGGTGACAGCCGGAAAAAATTGAATGGCTAGATATTCACGATAATTAAAGCTATCCGCAAATGAACAACATGTGGCAGAAGTTGATTGTCTCTTTTGGTTAAAGTCATTGTTGTGGTCCTTCATTTCTCTGCAGTGGTTATGATATAAGGTTTTTAATAAAACTGCTTCAGTGTAGTCACTTTTTTATTTACTGCCTATTCTTTTTTCATGGCAGGGTATACTGCGAAATGTAACTACAATGATACTGAGATATTTGCCAAACTCCGGGAAACTGGTGTCTGCGATAGGGATTGAACACGCTATTAGCCTTTGCAGGGGCTAATGCGTTCACCACCACACCATACTGGCCCTTCCTTTCTGCTGAGAGAAGGGTGAAACGAAGGATCCGTGTGGTGCAGTGGCGAACGCATTAGTTCCCCGAAAGGGTAAAAGTGTGTTCGATCCTCACTACAGACACACGCGGCCCGAAGTTTTGCAAATATTTCAGCGTCATTGTAGTTAATATTGTTTCCTTGTCACGAGATTTCTTCTAACTACCTTCCTTTTGCTTTTTTTTCGATGTAAACTATCTTATGGTGAACGATAACTTTTCAATTTTTTCTACAGTTTCTTTCTCAGCAGTGATAGTGATGCTTACCGTTCGCCGCTAGCAATACTCTTCTCTTAGGGTTCGACGCTGGCCTGGGGTTTCGGGTATTGCAAATATCTCAGCATCATTGACAATACTCTTCTATGAAAAATAATAGGCACTAACTGAAAACTTAAGCATTGTAAGTTCTTCTCTTAGTTTTCGTTTTCGTTTTCAGGAGAAAATTCTAATAGCGAAGAAGAAAGTGACACGCATGCTGATGACGATCGTGGTGGCGTTTGCTGTCTGTTGGTTGCCGAACTTTCTTTGGTGGTTACTTGTTCGAGCTTCCGATTTTGCGGTAAGTCGAGAAGAAGAGTGATAGTGAAGTCGCATCACAACTTCTCATTGGCGTAAAAACTGCGTAACATTTGCGTTAAAGGCTTATTTCCGTCCAGCTTTAAATCTCGTCTACGCCCGTCATCCAAATCTCCAACGAAGCTGACTCATTGACGTAAAACTGTGCAGCGTTTGCGTTTTAAACTCTGTACGTGCACAATTTCAAGTTTCAATCGCCACCGTCACTCTCTAAGAATTCTTTATGATTCTCATAACATATCATCTTATTTGGATTCACAATGGGTTATAGTCCTCGTTTTATAAAAAAAAAGGATAAAGCTCTTTGCGTTGATCAATCCCTGAGTGATGCGCCATGCATTCGACTTCATTAAGCATCGTTTTGAGGTGAATGCATATCTAACCTTTGCAATGACTCGCGATTGCTTACCGATGTATCGAGCCAATGCTGCTATCCTCCTAGACAAGTCTGGTACCAATTTTCCAACCCTGGAGGGATTGAATGTTTGATGGGCCATAAGCACCGGAATCGATTCCACGTGTGTGATTCAGAGCGCCTCCGATCACTGCGCCACACGCTTCCCTCTTTGTTTCATATGGAGTAGAAAAAGGATCTTATACAGAGTAGTAGTATTTTTAAAACATTCTTAGTATTAAGTTGGTACTGGGTTAAACCAAAAAGCCAAAAACTAGGACAGAACAATTTGTTTTCATCACTACAGTGGATGAAAGAATATGTCTTTTGTGTTAAGAGATAGTTTTATAGAAAAAGGTGGGGGTTTAAGGAGGAGAAAGAACCAAACATCATTAGAGAGATTCTGAGGAAATAAACGGATGAACTGGGAAATTTTCAGCAATGAACTCGTTATTCGAAATTTTTCCTCAGTCGTACGTTTTTCATGACGTCATCAAGAGATTTGCGATTTGATCATTTAAGTAAGTGTCATAATTAGAAGGGTTTTATGCTTTCGTGTCCTATCCGTGCCTGGTGGAGTGTTCCGTTTGACCATAAATCTTCCCATCTAGGGGCTTTTTTACACCTACACAGTAATCTACCCGTTTCGCCAATGTATCGGTCCTCACACGCTTTACAAGAGATCAGGCACACCGTACCCGAGCTCGTGGAATCACCGTCGGTACCATTAGGGCATATTATGCAATTTCGTGTTATACAAAAATAATCATACACACAATTACGAACTAGCTGTCATTTTAGGATAATTCGTTGCTCTTTCGCTCCTTCATTTCTTTTTCGATCGATGTTCGTTGCTTAGGGTGCTCCTGTGTGGCATTCCGGGCTTAATATGGCGCTCACCACACTTACTTACATCTCGTCGACAACGAATCCAATCACTTATTGTTTTATGAATAAAAGGTTTCGTAGCTCAGTGCTATCGCATTGTGCTGAAATGAAAAGACGAGTAAGTACACGAGTTTTATAAAAGGTTTTGTTTCTTTTTATAATGCTTCGCTTAAGTTTTTTTTATTAGTAGCACCCACTGTGAGGTGCTCTCTAGAGGTAGATCAGAGTTTTTCACCAAGAAGGTTAAAAGTTGAACCAGTGATTACCATTTGTGCCACCTTTATCACTTTCAATCACATTAACCGTCGAACATCCCTACCTGAAGTTGGTCTCGTCTAGGTCACAACAATCCCACAGTGTACTACGCATTTTCGAAAGTCACGGAAGACCTCAGAATTCTAGTTAAGACCGTTTACTTTCACACGTTTCGAACGAAGCCACCGCCAAGCCTACACACTCTGCCGTAGCATTGGTTTGCTCCTAGCTAAATTTCAACTGGGGAAATCAAACTCCTCAGATTGAGCGGCCCGTGTTGTGAAATGAACCCTGGTATACCTCACAATATGTGTATATTTAAAAACATCCCGTACTATCACAGAACCATTAGTGGGCAGTTGTTTATCGCAAAGTGATGAAAATAAAAGTAACTCAACTTCAATATTACTTACTGTCTTCTAAGCAGTCTGTTTAGCGAAATGACATGGTTCCGACTTGTTCTCGAAGGTCACCAACGAATGTGGCTGCTGCTGACACGGCAAACTCCGTTCCACTCATCAAGGTGAAATGAATTTGATGAGATTTTATCTCAGAAATTTCTACCGATGCTATCGATGAAATACACACTGCGATCCTTTTAGGAACCTTATGGGAAACATTGTGTAAGAAATCAAACGGGAAATCGGTAGTACCCTTAGTCAACATTGAATTGGTCATAGAGGAAATGATTTATCACACGAGTAAAAGTTGCATTTTCACTTAAAGAACACCTTAAATGCCATTAAAGACCGAAAAAAACTTGGGTTTCTACCACTGAAACGAGCAAATAGCTGTCTGTCGTAAAGCATGTGAACTACTTAGTAGATGACAATGTTTGTGGAGAATGCAAAACGTGCAGTAAGTGTATACGATACTTTTCAGATTGATCATGTCCGCTTCTGAGCCGTAAGGAACGGATGCCGCACTCGCCCACCTCCACCCACCCTCAGTTGTTCTTGTTATTGTTGTTGTTGTTTCCCGACGTCCATCCAGAAACTTTCCGTTGGCACAGAATTCATTTCTTGTTCGATATTGATTTGATGTTTTTCTCCTGTAACCGCCGGATTCTCTCCTGAAGCACCGATCCGGCACGACATAATTGAACATTATATATCCACCTATAAATAATGTTTCACTAAGTGTTTTCCTTGATCATCACTCTCTTCCATGCTTTTCTCTTTTTTTTCTTTAGCTTCCAATCGTCGGTTAGAAATGTCACATTAGTATGTTCGTCGCTGTGAAGGGATTCTCTCCCGGGGGCGACGACAATAGCTGTGACGGCGATTTTTCTCTGGGAACGTGTTCTGCATCGATCGACATGTTCCTCTCCAATCACGATCATTCCACAACACCACAAATCTTTCTCTATTCGTATAGAGTTGTTCCTTATCAAAATATAACCATACATTCTCTTTTTCTTCTAGGAATTTCTCTTTGATTTCATTTGCAATGTTTCCATCATTGGAAGGAGTCTTAAGAAGAGAACTAGTTCACTTTCTCTAATACTAATTCATTCGGTACGACACTAGTTCTAACTATGCTGTTAGTCGTTCAACTCATGTGTGCCGGTTTATTTGTCGATTAATTGAATTCTTTACACACTCGAATAATAACTGTATTATATGAAGAATGAACTGCTTTATTTTTCTATCGAATGCAGGAACAATTGAGAAAGGAATTTTAAAAATGCTTGGGTTTAATTATGTGGCGCAGCGGTTAAAGAAATAATCCAATACACTCATGGTCCGTGTTTCGACTTCGCTCTGGACTAAAAGAACCTCTCAGAGCTCCAAATTCGGCAAATTATTGCCAGCCTTGTATAGGAGAATGAAAACTGACGATATATCGCTAGGTTCCAGCTTGTCATTACACAGACCGACTATGCATACCATAATTTCTACGATTCTACGAATGCGGTAGAAGGCACGGTGCATCTCTGAGATTGTCGTTGAGCCCATAAGCCTTTTCTATTTATTATTATCATTATTGCCATCACTATTGATTTTGATTTGTTATTTATTTACTTATTTATTTATTATTTACTGGGTACTCTTTTTAATGGCAGGGTATATTGCGAAATATAACCCCAATGATGCCGAGATATTTGCAAAACTCCGGACCGCAGGTGTCTGCGGTGGGGAACGAACGCGCCACTGACCCTTCTAGAGAGTAACGCGTTCACCACCACACCATGCGGGTCCTTCGTTTCGCCTGTCTCTCAGCTAATTTTATCGATCTCTGCCTCAGCAATCACTTGTCAGCGATTGTTCATTATTACCATGATCATCATTCCCGTCACTGTTGCTACTATAACGATGCTATTAAAAATTGGACACGATTGGTTACAAACAAATACTTAGAGGATAAAAGCATAAAGCTCTCGGCGTTGATCAATCCCTGGGGAATGCGCCATGCATTCGACTTCATTAACCATCGTTGGAGGTGACTGAATGCATCCCTGGCCTTTACAATGACTCGCAGTGGCCTACCGATGTATCCAGCCAGTGCTGCTATCCTCCCAGAGAGATCTGGTACCAATTTGCGACCTCGGAGGAATGAGAGGCTTGGTTGGCCCGGTACGGAATTGAACTAGCACCATACTCGTGATGACGGTCATCACTGCCATTGTGCTATCCGCCCCTACACATATATTAAGAATTAAAAGGTTTCGATTTTCACAGTAAGTCATGTCAATCCATCGAAATTAGTAAACAAACAGATATCTCAAGGAAATTGCAAATATGATATTAGAACAATCCGGCAATTTATTGAGAAAAAAAGACATAACGAAGGTCTATTGCTTCCATCTTCCTAGTGAACCGGTACTTCCTTCTGACAATTGCTGATTTTCCGCCTAAAAGAATCTTCGTTGCAAATGATGTAACATTACCACATCATAGCACTATGGTTACTTTCAGGCTTAAATGGCGTATTGATTATTATCGATTGGTAGAAATCATGGAAAATTACGACAAGATACGAGTAGTAGGACGTGGAGCGTATGGTGTTTGTTGGCTCTGCAGAAGGCGAGAAGATCCGCTAGCTCAGAAGGTGCAGAGTCTGCTACGGCACTTTTCTCTTATCGTATTAATTTTACTTATTGCTTTTCGGTTTCTTTTTTCTGAAGTCTTTTGTCCTTCCGAAATCTTAGTCAACAACAGTGATAGGCTTTGCGTCTCGTATGTAACCGCTCTCAATTTTCTTAAGCAAGAAGAGGAAAAGGGTCTAAAATGAAGTAAAAATAGTACGTACATCTTCTGTTTTATTCTCCTTTTTGGAACCGGAAAGCTTGGATAGAAGGCGGGGATAGTAGTTCCCCACTTCTCGTAAGTCTTGCCTTTTGTGGAGCTTCTCTTCAACAAGGTCTATTTCTTCATATGAACTGTTCAGGTGTAGACGAAAAATGTGCCTCTCATCGATGAATAAGATGTACTAATGTAAGCTTTAAATTTCCAGCAACCATGGGTAGTGTAGTAGTTCGTGTCACCCTGCAAAACACATGTCTGGTCCTTGGTTCGATCACACACCCCGAACTAACCAAGAATTCCCTCGCTCAGAGAGCTGAAAATTCGTATTAGAGCATACCGAGAGGATAACAAACCATGCTTTGGTTCAGCGCTAAGCTCAAAAAAGTCGTTTTGTAAACCAAATATGCATTAGATCACTTTTTAATGTTATGTATGGAGTTAAATGCATGACGCGTCTCCGAAGCATTATGGTGGAGCGCTTTGCACTTTGACACTTTAACACCTTCTACCGGACCACGGTGATGCCGAAGTGAGAGATTTGGATTTTTTAACGTGCCAATATCCTTCAGCAGCATGACAACAAAGTATGAATTCTTACAGAAATGAACGAGTATTTACGGCTGCCATCTGAGGTTCCAACCAGAGAGCGAGCAGTTAGTTCAGGGTCACATGAAGGCACTTTAAGACAATTCAATTGAGTAAAGCTCAGAATCCATCCAAAGCGGCATAGAAAAATCTAGTTGGACTGCGTAAAAGATAAGAATGATAAAGGTTTCGGTGTTAATCTATTCCTCAGCAATGCGCCGTGCATTCGACTTCATTAACATCGTTGGAGGTGATTGAATGCATTTGTGACCTCTACAATGACTTGCGGTGTCCTATCGATGTATCAAGCCGGTCGTGCTATCCTCGCAAACAAGTGGACCCCGAAGGGATGGCGAGCTTGGTGAATCGTGAGCGTGGGGAGCGATCCCAGGTGTATTGCAGGGCGCGTTGGACCACTGCGCAATACGCGCGCTACTTGGAACTGCATAGTTCCCAGGATCGACTTTCTACTAACCTCCGTATTGGATTATAAATCCGTCGTTTTCTCTCTCAGCAATCGCGTGGTTGCTAAACAGCATACGTTTACTTCCATACAATAACACACATACAACACAACCGCGGCTGACATTTCGGTAGTATCGCCTTCTTCAAGGCCGTTTTTTTACGTGACTTCCACCGAGGAAGAGCCGCTGTCGTCAACCATATGTGACTGTGATCAGCGGCTCTTCCTCATTGGAAGGCACGTAAAAAGCGGCTTTGAAGAAGCCGATACTGCCGTAACGTCAGCCACGGTTGTGTTGTACGTGTGTTATTGTATGTAAGTAAACGTATGCTGTTTAACAACCTCACGATTGCTGAGAAAGAAAACGACGAACTGTAGTGTTCGCGAATCAGTTGAGCTTTCAAAAGAAAAATAACCTAGTTCTCCTTCCTATACCATAAAGCTAAAAATGAACCATGATGCTCTGGGTGATTGCTAATGGCAGCGTTAGGTAGAAAACTAGCTGAGAGAAACGCAGAGCATGGGCCACCGTGGCGCAGTGTGTAATGCACGAGCCTCCGAAAAGGAAAATCGTGGTTCGATATGGCCTGGGGTCCAACTTTTGCGAATGTCTCAGCATCTTTGTGGTTGTTGGGTTCAATGCCGATTTGTGCTCTGCAGATCGATCCCGCTGACGGGTGATTGCTGATCGCAGCGTTAGGTAGAAAACTGGCTGAGAGAAACGTAGAGGAAGCGCATCCGTGGAGCAGTATGCAATGCGTGAGCCTTCGAAAAGGGAAATGGAGGTTCGATCTGGCTCGGGGTCCAAGTTTTGCGAATATCTCAACGTCGCTGTGGTTGTAACTCAGGCTATACTCTGCTATGAAAAATTATGGTAGGCAGAAAAGAAAAGGTTAACACTGTACCATGACCATCTGGGTGGCACCGATCCAGAGCCATCCAATGAAAAACATACTCAACGTTATCGATTACAGGTGATCGTAAAGACCATTTTCATCCATGGAATGAGTGCCGACGAAGAGAAATCCATTATGGGTGAGCACAATTAATAATTTTAATGCATTAGGCAACTTTAGTATTCATAGCGACGTATAAATTTGATACCTCCATTGTTTTCTGTTGTCTTTCTTCGTATTGCTTCTTTAGTACTATGGTTTTTCATCCTTTAAAAGTCATTGAGGGAGCGCGTGTGGCGTAGTGGTTGCAGGCGCCCTGCGACACTCACATGGAAGCGGTCCGCACGCCCGTGGCTCATCCAGCCTTTCATCCCTCCGGGGTCGGCAAATTGGTACCAAACTTGTGTGGGAGGATAGTAGCACTGGCTCGATATATCGGTAGGCCTCTGCGAGTCATTGTAAATGCCAGATATGCATTCAATCACCTTCAACGATGCTCAATGAAGTCGAATGCATTGCACGTCCCTCAGGGATTGATCAACGCCGAGAGCTTTATCCCTTTTTATCATTTTTTAAACATTGACATCTGAACATTTAGTCCGTCGCAGCTCAAATATACCAATCCACTGATTCATTCAATTCACAAAACAATTTTTCAAAAGTCCATAAACTTTGCAGCAATCAAGTACTGTAAAGGAAAACTTAATGAATGCTAACTGTTGGTATGACAATGATAAAATTCTATGAGCAAAAGTCAGTTAATGAAAATCTGAAAGTGCTTTATAGGTGAAGTGAAGCTACTACAGAAGATGCATCATCCAATGATCATAGGTTACTATGATTACTTTGTTTTCGAAAATCAACTAGCCATTGTTATGCAATACGCCGAAGGAGGTACGATGGAAAAACTCGTGCAAGATCAAAAAGGTTAGTTAGTTAATAAGGAGAAAACTCGTCCCTAGAAAATACGGTCAGAGATTTTCTTTTTCATTACGCTATAATTTTTCCGTTTAGTTTAGCAGTTTTTATGTTTTCACTTTTTTTGACAGTTTTTTCTCTGTGTCCTCTAATATAAGACTTTATTTTTATTTTCAAATTTTTGTTTTTTATCGTCTAAATTACCGGCACGTGTAGCCCAGTGGTCGGAGGCGCCCTGCAATACACATGAAATCGATCGCGCGCCCGTGGCTCTCCAAGCCTCCCATCTCTCCGGGGTCGCCGAATTGGTACCAGGTATCAGGCTTGTCTGGATGCAACACTGATTCGGTACGCCACCTCGGGTCATTGTAAAGACCACATACACATTCAATCACCTCCAACGATGCTTAAAGGAGTTGGATGCACGGAGCATCCCTTAGGCGTTGATCAACGCTGAGGGCTTTATCCTTTATCTTTTTGTCGTTTGAATTTTTTTTCTCGTGTCTATTTGTATTGTATGCTATATGAAACATTTTATAGTTGTATGTATTCTTTCTTGATAAGCTTGCACGGGGTTGATAAATATATTTATTTTCGGCTAACGTTTCGACGTCTTCGTCTTCCTCAGAGCCGGTGATC